CTATTGAAATCTCCTGTGTGGAACTGGAGCAATTCATTGTTGTATGTCTATATTGTCCTCCATCAGCTGTCTATAATAATGTTGAAAATGTATTAGAGGAGATATTGTGTAAATTAGTAAAGTGTAATAAAGGGCTAATTGTGTGTGGGGACTTTAATGTCAATTTACTTTGTCATTCTAATTCAAGTGTACGCATACTTAGTCTTTTTCGTTCATACAATTTAATAAATCAATTTCATTCACCCACAAGAATAACAGCTAGCACCGCAACTTGTATAGATAATATATATAGTGACATAGCCCCTTTGAATGTCTGGTCAATGGTTTGAATTCCAATTAAGGAAACAAAAAACATGTAAAAAGAAGAAAATTGTGATAACTCCTATTACAAATGACCGTTTGGACAGATTTAGAGAAGCATTGGTCTATAGAATCCCATTTCTGTGTGGCAACTCATCCCCTAATAATTTATACAATACTTTTTTTGGATCATTTATTGATGAATTCAAGAAAGTATTTACTCAAAAGACTTTATTGGTCTCTGAGAAAACAAGTTTCTGTGACTGGGCAAATGAGGAGTTACACAGGAAAAGGTTAAAATTATATGAAATCTATGACGAAATGCAATATAACACTAGTGTGGAATTTAGGGAATATGTTAGGTTGTATTCAAATAATTTCAAAAAAAGATTGCAAAACTGCAAAGTCTCAATATTTAAGTTCAAAAATAAAAAATAGCATGGATAAAGTAAAAGCTACCTGGAAAATAATAAATGAAGAATCAGGTAAAACGTCTGACAAACGAACTGATTATATGTTAAAAGTTAAAGGGAAGTTAATAAAATCTGACCCAGAGGTAGCTTCTTCTTTTGAAGAGTTCTTTACAAATGTACCACTAAATACGACCAAGTCCCTAGATTCTTCACCTGCTGCTGCGATCTCATTGCTAGAAAAATGTGTACCTGAATGTAATATTAAATTTCAGTTTAAACATATAACTTGTAATGATATCGTTAAAACTTTTAAGCTTATTAATTTAAAAAAAAGTAAAGATATATGGGGTATGTCAACAGTCATTTTAAATTCCGTTATTAATGTAATAAGCTCAGAATTGTCTATAATTTTTAACAGATGTATCGATTGTGGAGTCTTTCCGGACGAAATGAAATTAAGTAAGATTACACCGTTGTTCAAGGCCGGTAGTGAGTCTGATCCGTCAAACTTCAGACCTGTTTCCGTGCTCCCTGCGTTGAGCAAAGTTTTTGAAAAGATAATGCTAGACCAGCTTTCTTTACATTTTAATAAAAATAAACTCTTACATAATAAACAGTATGGTTTCACTAAGGGTCGCTCCACAATCGATGCCGGTGTGAAGTTGATTTCGGACATATTTAACGCCTGGGAAGAATCATATGATGGAGTCGGCGTCTTTTGTGACCTGTCAAAGGCCTTTGACTGTGTTCATCCTGATATACTCGTTGGAAAGCTTCAACACTATGGCGTTGATGGCAAAGCTTCCAGCCTGATGAATTCATATTTAAAGGGAAGGATCCAAAGAGTTCATGTCAATGGAGTCACCTCTCCGGGTTCGCAGGTATCAATGGGCGTCCCCCAAGGATCGATTCTCGGGCCTTTCTTATTTCTGATTTACATAAATGACCTCCCATTCTTTGTCAACGAAGTTCATGAGATGGTATTGTTTGCTGATGACACTTCACTTCTATTTAAAGTGAATAGGAATAACGTATTATTGGACGATGTAAACAATTCTATCTCTCGTATAGTTAACTGGTTTAATGTAAATAACTTATTGCTTAATGAGAATAAAACAAAATGTATTAGATTTACAACTACTAGCGTAAAGCGAGATATTGGTAACCTGAAAATTAAGGACAGTGAACTAAACTTTGTTGACAAAACTGTTTTTCTAGGCATAACAATAGATAGTAAACTTCAATGGGGCCCACACATAGAGACTCTTTCGAATAGGCTGAGCTCTGCTGCATATGCAGTAAAGAAAATCCGACAGTTTACTGATGAGGACACGGCTAAAATTGTGTACCATAGCTACTTTCATAGCGTTATGTCGTACGGCATTTTACTGTGGGGTGCTGCTGCAGAGGTTCAATCCATATTTGTGCTGCAGAAGCGGGCTGTTCGGGGTATTTGTTGTGTTTCTCCGAGGGAGTCGGTACGGAATAAGTTTAAGGAATTAAATATTATGACACTATCTGGTCAATATATTCTTGAAGCCTTGTTGTATGTCCAAAAAAAATATAAACGATTTTAAAACAAATGGTGACTTTCACCAGTATAATACGCGAAATAGAACTAATTTGAGTGTACGACCAACCAGGCTCCAAAAGATAAACCACTCCTTATATGGAAATTGTATTCGTTTTTACAACAAGCTCCCAAGCGAAATTAGAGAATTATCACTAAATAAATTCAAAGCCCTCGTTAAACGAAAATTAATCAACAAAGCTTTTTATAAATTTGAGGACTACTTAAATGATCCTAATCCTTGGGATTGAATTGCTCCAGTTCAAACAATTTGTATGACAATACTTGGCGATTAAAAAGAGTGGCGGAAAGTTTCTTGCCAGTTCTTCTTACCCGCTCTACGCCCTTGACTTGCGAACTGGTAGTAAATGTAAATTTACGATTAATTTAACTTGACGATTCAAAAGTTTACTTGGTTACCTAATTGAATAAAGATATTTTTTTTTTTTTTTTTTTGTTTTGTGTGTCTACAGTTATTAATTTATATGCTTTAATAGTAAAAATAAACAATATATGTTTTAATATTATTGAATTTAGATGACTCGTCCTTTCAAGTATTTTACCATGTTTTTATATTTATCGGTGTCGTAAAATCCTTTCAAGTATTATTACCAAGTTTTTATTTGTAATAGGTATTCAAAAAAATGTTTTATTATTATTGTGTATTTAATTGAATTCACCGATAATCAATACATAAAATAGATTAAAAATTAGTATATTCAATTATTAATAATAATTAAATTGAATTGTTCTACTTGAATTGTTCTAAAACAAATACAACATATACTAATCCATACATTATACTAGATTATTAAAACTAAAATTCCTAACTCCAATTATATAATCAAAGAAAAAGGACAATCAAAAACCGATAAATAGAAAAATTCCAGAATAAACGCGGAACGAAAATACGGCTAATTAAGGAAAGACAGGCGTCCGACTTGTATGTCAACTCACTAACTTTCCAAATTTAACTTGAATAATTGGACAAAAGACTATTTGAACGAATTAATACTGCAAATGAAAGACAGTAGCTTTTACTGTTTTGCTCGATGAAAACTGACCGGAAAATCCGTTTCAACTTTTGAACAAACTCAAACTTAACCAAAGTGAAAGTGCTATCTGGCATCGGCTATGAATAAATAGCTCACGCAGAATTAGCTCTGGTATTGACAGAGCAGTTTTGGTCTTGCGTCATACACGAGTGGTTGGACATACAGAAAATCATGACATATCATGTCCTGTGCGTGAGAGATGCTGTAGACAAATCACACGCTTTTGACGTGACAACGTCTTATAATTCGATGGAGCCGGCTGCACGTACGAAAAAACATGACTCATGCGGCGTTACCTCGCTCTGAGGCATTCCATTTAAAGCTTGAAGTGCAAGCGAGAGCGCGGATCGAGCGACAAAGAGGCACAATCGGCCTCCGCGTTCGGGAGCGTTCAACATCTGTCTCTCTCCTACTTGAGTGAGCGAACTGCAACCATTCCATCAGTATTTTCTTATGACGTTGTCACGTTCAACTATCGTCAGTAAACCGACTTTACAGACAACCGATTTTTTTTTCTTTTACATTAACATCAATGATCCTGATCATAGTTTTAACTAAGCTCCAATATCGAGATAGAATATGTTATATGCCTAATGTTTTTATAGAAATGTTATCGTATTATAATAAAAGTACAGAATTTTTAAATATATTAGACGCAATTTAAGGTATTCCATTTAACTAAGCATTAATAATGAGATAACGGCATTATTAGAGACCTTTGCAAGGTATTAGATCCGTCTAATAGACCAGGGTTAAGTCAATAGTTGGCTAAATCTGAATGTCCACATGGCACACGTAGTGGTGCGGTCTCATTCAACTGTCCGGGGACTGTTCTTCGACATCTATCCTTACTTAGTTATTATCTATCTTTAGTAGGTACCTATTTTGCCTTAACTTTTTCCTTGATATTGCTTTAAGCTAAGATAAATAAATTACGATTTAATTAACTGCCGAATGAGATGAGGGGTTTGTTTATTTAAATGCGCTAACTATGCGTATGAAAAAAAAGTCTATGTTCCATAGTCCAATTATAGAGGAATATCATGCTAGTACCGAATTAATGCGATACCATGAGGCGCAGCTAGTTTATAATCTCATTTAGAAACGCTCGACCACTTGACTGTTAACACTGGCTAATCAATAAAGCGTTTTATAAATTTGAGGAATACTTAAATGATCCAAATCCTTGTTGATTTGCTCCAGTTCAAACAATTTGTATGACAATACTTGGCGATTAAAAAGAGTAGCGGAAAGTTTCTTGCCAGTTCCTTACCCGCTCTAGGCCCTTGACTTGCGAACTGGTAGAAATGAAATTACAAATTTAATTGACAATTCAAATGTGTACTTGGTTACCCACTTAAGATTTTGACTTTAAGTTTGTCTGTTGACTTAATAAGTAAAATCCGATCTCATAAGAGCTATCTTTAGAGATAGCTTCAGTTCCCTACTAGTATCGTATCGTATCGTAACGTAACCTTATTAGCCTTTAGGATAAATGGATTACCCAATTTTTATATCTAATTCGAAGCAGTAGTTCCTGATTGACAGACTATTCAAATGTATATGACAGTTGAAACAGGACCTTGGACATTCCAAATGTAAAAAAATGTTTATAAAAAATGGCCCCAGAGCTTGCTAATTAAGCAATGTCAGTGACAGGTGTCAGTCGTGAAGCGAGCCGCAGTGGAACACTCGGTGCATTATCAACTCGCATAGAGATGACGGCAGCGTCGCTGTCGCTCCCACGTCCCTAAGTTTACTCTGCTCCGCTCCAAATTTCACTCCAGACTTGCGACGGACAGTCAAAGGCATGAGTAAAGGCGTTAGCACAGTATAAGTTGACTAGAATATATATGTACTAGATACGATTAGAACCTACTAAACATCGAGCAAGGTAAACATTCCGCGCTATTAAAGATACATGTGTTTGGTTGTTAGTACATACTTTATTTGTCTATAAACGACGTTACGATAAACATATTCAAAATTCATATTTTTTATTCAATAACAAGTTACATTTATAGCAGATATTGGAGCCCCTGAACTAATTCTAGGGAGACCTATACATCATTACCTGAACATATCAATGTTTATTTCACTCAATTTTTTTTAAATAAAGTGACTTTTTCAAGAAACCAACACTAACGACTAATAAACAGTCAGATATAAAACTTAAACCGCTGCCTCTTAAGGCGGGTACCACACGTTCCCAAGTCAGTCCTGTCACGTCACCGTGCACGACAGTCTCGCCGGCGATGACAGGCCGCGACTGAATTGTTCCGTGCCAGTTCTGACACCACGCCGTCTTAGTTTATTTCGGTTGCTGTTATTATTGATTGCATTTCCTTCGACTTCGATTCGATTGACAGTGCGATAGTGTACAAGCGCACAGTGGATTTCTGAAAATGTTTGTTATATTGTTTTACAATTCGTACGTGTCTTATAAATACCATAGTTATTTCTGTTAATAGCATATTCTTCTCTGTTGATAAATGAATTTTATATTGTCAAAAGGCTTGGAAGGTTGCATACTGAAAGTCTTGCTTGGTGAGCAACCCAAGTGTTCTCGAAGAACTTCTTTGTACCTATGGGATATGTTCCCCGTTGACAAAGACCTTGCGCCTACTGAATGCTGTCTCCGACACTAACGACCTATTTATATGTTCGCAGAGTGAGTTCACAGTAGCGATATTGTGTATTTAATATTATATACTTTTAAAGAAAAAACTTTTTACCGGATTAAAGTTATGTGTGTGTGTAAAGGTTATGTCAATCAAAGACAATACTATATTATATACTTTTTTCTCGACAAAATAAAAAAAATAAAAAAACTGTCTTTTGCCATCTAACTTATTTATTTTCATTAGCATTCCTGTTGACAAGCCTTAACTGTAGTTAGGTAAATAACAACAATTAAACGAACTTAAAAGAAAGGTATTGCGCAGTGCGCTGACACCGTTGACATCGTCACGAACTTTTGCTGTTTGAGCTCATTCGATTATCGAAACCCGCATAGCTTGAGAGACTTATTTTTCCAAGTTTTAAAAATATATCAGCACAATCATAATGTCAGCGTATCTCATTGATTGAGCTTACCCCGTATATTGGTTTGAGAAATCAAATCAAATCAATTCAAAATAATTTATTCATACATAGGTAACACAATGTATAATAATTATGAACGTCAAAAAATAAATATACATTTTATGATTCTAATTATAATTTGGAAAGGACCACCAGACAAGAGGAAGGGGAGACCCTTAGAACGCTGGGAAGATCTGAGATCTGAAAAGATCAGCTGGCATAAACCGGTACAAGATCCATCAAGATCCAACAAGCTCCATAGCACAAGACCGACAAAAATGGGCATCTTTGGAGGAGGCCTTTACCCAAACCGGAGTTCTTCAATAAACTCTCCGCCACTATTTTTAATCGCCAAGTTTTTTGTTTTACACAATGTTTGTGGAGGAGCTGCAACCATTACACCATGTTCCACATGACATCTTAAGTAATTAATAGTTAATTAATAATAATAAAATAAATTAAAAACAAAGATTTGTCCTCTATCAGCAGGAGACAGGGTGAAATAGGAGCACGCACTTATTACATTCGCGTGGGACAATGAGAGTTGTGTCGTACCAATGATTTCAAATTATTCTATAATAGATTATAGAATAATTTGACACTACGAAATCTAAATATACTTTGAAAACTTCAGACGTCTTAGCTCAGATCTAATTCTTGATTGACGTTTCTTACATTGACTCAATGTCTGTCAGTTATCAATAAGGTTTTGCTAGCCGTGTTCATGTTCAATACTCTTATATCAGGCGCTAAAAGGTAGACGTTTAAATGAAAATCTAAAATTTTAATCCGAACAATCCGTTCGCAACGTAACCAAGCGAGTTAGGCACGTAAACGTAAAGTGCAATACAATAAGAAATAACGAGGCAATATCAAAGCGGGCGGCCGTCAGTCGTCTTGAGCGCACTGCGCCAGGACAGTCATTTCAAACTGACAGGGGGTGGATGTGACAGGGGGTAGGGGCCAGGGGGGGGGTGACCAGATGGATTGATATTGCACCCGGTAAGACGGAGCGATCGCATGCGATGGAAAAACACGACGTCCTAGAACGTATTGCACTTGAAAGTTGCTTGATAGATTGATCCGATGCATTCGGGTGGCGTTTGGACTTGATTCCCTTGAGGTTAGGAGTTAAGTAATTTACGATTAAAGTTCTGAGTTCATGTGTCAAAGTCTTGACGTTACGTCTTTGACGCTAGAATAGAGCATTTGATCAGCACTGGACTGTATATCTACTGCAATGTACGAGGCACATTACACCCCCAAGCAATAAAATTTCATCAAACTGTATCACGAAGAATGGAATCAAACATTCATAAAAAGCTAAAATGTCCGATCAGCGATGGGTCGTTTCATACTTTTAAAGAGTTTGTAAAACACAAACAAATTACGAACAAAGGACTGTAATCAGTCCGTTTGAAAGACAAGTTGAAAAAATTCGAATTTGCATTCTATAATTCGGACAAATGAAATTCGTGCAACTCCGTGACGTGACATCGCGCTGGGACAGTGACGGACCACCTGCCTCCCGACCCCACCCAACCCATCACCCGCCGGACCAAGACGCACAGTAGATATTCCAGCAGTAAGATTGTGAATGATGAAGTAACTGGTATACAAAAGCATGATTGACGATAAGTTGATTTTACTGGCATTGTCCATGTTACCAAATAAATCTTCATGCTGTGCGTAGTTAGGGATGCCCTCATGATATAAAAATATATATCGAAGTTAAGCCATTCCACAACTGAGCGTTTTTCAAGGCAGTTTTTGCCACGCACCACCACTTTGTGGAATCAGCAGTATTTCCGAACCAATTCGACTTAGGGTCCTTCAAGAAAAGAGCGTACTAATTCTTAAAAGGCCGGCAACGCACTCGCGAGCCCTCTGGCATTGAGAGCGTCCATGGTGAGCCTCCTGCCTGTTTGCCCCCTGTTCTATACAAAAAGCGTTTAATACAATTATTACTAACGATTCGGTCGGTTCTTATCAAATGTTTATTTATAAACTAATAAAGTTTATACAGAGACAAGTACATAGGTGATGCCTTTGGCTTCCATGTATATAAGTTTCGTATTGGTATGGATTGGTATTGGATTTATACTATACTACGCCGTATTTAAGGCTTTGTTTTTATATTTCTCTTTCGCGTATTGCGCACACTCAACGTATTGCACGTGAAGCTGATCTATTTAATTGCACGCTGAATTCACAAGGATAGCATTATTCATAATTTGTTATACAAAGTGTTATGTTTTGTTTATATGTAATATTTATTTATTTTCACTTCGTTACTTTAAAAATAGGTTACATACGTTATTAGACAACAGCGGTTCAACTATGTTGTTAGTTTAAATTGTATATTAATAAGTATATTGTAATTGTATTAAGTTACTAAGAATAAAAATACAGAAAAAAAAATTCTAAGGGAAATCTCTAAATTTGATATAAAAATGTAACCTCACTGAACTTTTCCTATCACATAATATGAACACTGTTTTATATCGGCTCCTTTAAACACATAAAATTACACCTTCAAACAAAGAATGTTCGGCGCGTCTGTCTGTGACGTGGCACGTCATTTGCACAAAATTAAATAGCCTCAAAGAAGCGTCCGTCTGTCCATCGTGACCGCCTTGCCCCCTTGCCCCCACGAACCCACTTTCCTCCCATTGCCCCCACAGATGCAGGTAAAATGAACCGTGCCAAAGAAATTATTGTACATGAAACTTCACTGATGGAGTCGCTTTTCATAATTTTGTTTCCGAAATTCTTAAACAAACATAAAATTTAATATTTACATAACGAAATTGTATGTTTATTATTACGTATCTATGTTTTATTTTCATTACGCGTAATACTTAACTGATTTCCATTTTTAAAAGATTTTTTCATAAGATTTTTTTTTATAAAAAAACAAACGAGCTCAGGTGAGCCGATGTTAAGTGATACTGCCGCTCATAGACACTGTCAATGCCAGAGGGTTCGCGAGTGCGTTGTTGGCCTTTAAAGCGTTATCTTAAAACGTAGAACACATTATTATATAAAATAGAATATAATAAATTCTGTTGTTTTGTGAAGTTCTATTACTGGAAATCCAAACACAATCCCATATATAGGAAAATTGTGAATATAGTTTATTTGATGTTATTATGTTTAGGTAATAAACTATTTAAAACTAAAACATCACTCATAAAACGATGAAGAAATAAAATCAAATACATATATCGGTTGAAAAAAAAAGTTTATCCGCTCAGACAACTATGCAGTTGACTCAACATTGCTAACATAAAATGCTTTATATAAATGCCTTAAGACAGTGCTCAGGTGGACCTCCCCCTAGATGGATGGATATTGCCTTAGAAGGCAGGTGAGGGATGGGTAGAATGTCGATTTAACGAGCCTGAATGGTACTAGTTTAATTACTAAGTGATTAGATACAACCAATTGTGTCACAAGTGTTTGTCGGCGTTAAATAGGTATGTTGGTGATTTATATGTAAGAAAATATCAGCAATTCTCGTAACGATATTTCACGTTCTCCATCTCTTATATTCCATCCTGTTTAATCCTTAAACTATTTCTTAACTCTTTCTATCTTATCAAATTTTTGGGAGCCCATAGACTATAACCAATGCTCTTCCGAAAACTATATCCATGAAATTAAATCTCATAACTCTTCCTATCGTGGCGAATCCTTCAAGGTCTCTGCAGTGATGGTATGGAATTCAATTTCTGTTCCTACTCGCTTAGCTCCTTCTCTACCTTCTTTTAATCTCTACTGTACAAGCATTACCTGTCCACATCGTATCCCTAACTTTAGTACTAACTGATCTGAAATTATCGTGATTCATGTGCACTTTTCTTTCCATGTGTCCTTTTTTAATTATTGTCTTTTTCACTTTTTACATGTTTTATTTTTTTTGTTTTGTCTAAATAATTATATGTCTTATGGAGTTTTGCATATTTTCTTGCGCTCACCTAATTTAATTTGTGGTTGCCTGGAAAAGATCGCTCGAAAGCGATAAGGCCCCCAGATGCTCTCCTTTTTATTTAATTATTTTAATTGTAATATATTTATGTATACTTGCAACGAAGTGTTAATAAGTAAAATAAATATTGTTGTAATGAAATGTATTAGTTACTGTTTTAACCAAAGTAGCAAAACAATCATTTGTTCATAAAGTTGTTCGAAACCTTAAATTATGACACTTGGAACCAGTTCTTTGATACAATAATACGCACGCTTAACGTAAGACCAACCAAGAACATTTTTGTATACAACATCAATTACAGCAGGAAATCTAACCGTATGAATTAATCTACACACATACTCGATTGACATAAATTAATAGCGGATCTTAAACACAAAAAGTAACAACCCCCTACACCCTATAAAACGCGACAGAGACACATGTCCCCCCTCATTATCTTCAATTAAGGCCGATAACATTTCTTGACGTATGATCGAAGCGTCCACTTTAAACTGACCGGCAGTATGACCGGCAGATCCTTCGAGCGCATCAATATTTGCTTGAATCGAGCGAGGTGAGATGGCTCAGTTTACACTGGTCGTTGGACATGACAATTATGTTTCGACAGATCGCTTGTGGGATAAAAGATCTTAATGCTAGGCAATAAGGTTGAAGATGATTGTTGGCTGCTGTGGTGTGGTGAGTGATGGCGGTAGGACGGTGACGGATAGCAGTCAGGGAGTGATTAGTGGCATGTTTGTACTATCAGGAGGAATTAATGTTATCGGTTACATCATTTCTTACGACTGGCTTCATTTAGATGTTAGCTTAATTGTTGGAAGTATTGAACATGGTTTTAGTTTTAACTTAATCGATGTTCAAATTGGTATTAAATTATAATTTCCTATATAGTTTTCCTCTACCTTACAGTTGGTATTTTTATAAATTTATTCATATTTAAAAGTTTTAATGATATTTTGTTCATTCAGTTTTTACTTCAAGAAAATGAATTGTTTGAATTTCAAAACAAAAATTTGAAGAAGTCAAAAAACAGATCCAATGACACATTTATATATTTTCTTTAAGCGAGTTTATGCAATCAAAGCATACCCCTGGACAGTTGCAGTTTTAAAATAATTCAAGAAATTCAAATTAGAATTGTTAATAATATTATACATCCGTACTTTCTATGAGGCTTAGGGTGTGTTGACAAACTTTTGAGTCACGTCTGGTTATTAAACCTGACATAAAGAATGTCCGTCAATGTCATGACACTTGACTAATGACCGTCTCGCGGTCTCTAATTTGTCACCTTTCTACTTTATGTATTATTATTGCAAGACGTCGGTGCTTATTATATTTAGGTTTATGTTACTTATGTTCAAAATAATTGAAACTCTCCAAGATTGTTTGGATTGTCAGCTGGTCTCGATTAAAAAATACTATTTGTCCTTTTATGCTTTCACAAAGTCGTGATACGATTTTCTTGTTGATAACAATTAGTTTAGATATCGTAATTATTGAATGAAGGTGGAAAGGTATTATAGTATATATACATAGTCGATTTTCATGTGACTTATATACGTATGAATGAGTGATAGCGTCACTGCTTTAATTAGAAAATTGGTTTAATAGCCCTTCCAATCGTATTTTCCAATTCCGTGACTAAATCCTTTCACGAGTCAAAACCTCTCACGAGTTCCGGCCCGCGCGTAGGACAATTTAAAAAAAAAGTAGGAAAATTATAAAACATTTATGAAATAGAGATATTTTTCATAGAGAAAAAACATTCACAAACTTGAAACAAAATCGTTTAAATGTGCAAATTTGAAATTACCCTACACAATTGTAATGTTACCATACATAAAAAAACGTAGGTAAAAGTGTAGATGAATCGATAATAACATCTGTTTAAACTTTAAAGAAATAAAAAGGCATAGCTCTTTGATGCAACGAATGTAAGTTATACAGAAAAATTATAAGCTTTTTAACAGAGAGTGCACCGGGATCACAGCGCCTTTACAATCCCTGAGCTGACGCCGCCAGACCTCTTCGGTGATGGAGATGATACGCTCATGAGAGAAAGCGATATCATACGTTTAGGCATAGAAAAGTTGCTGGAATAGTACAGTATGCAATTTTATCAATATGAATACCACAATATAAAAAAAAGCATTACCAAGCATTATTAATTTTTATATATTAATTAATAAATTACATTAGACAATTATAACGTAGGTAGGTACTTGCTAAGAAAATATAAAATTGTATACCGTATAGAAATGAAAGCGTTATAGGTATAATGTATGAACCCGTTTTAAATAAATACGAATTATTTATCCCAGAACTATGTATATTGTCTATATCATTACATGATCAAATAACTGTAAGCTGATTTTTACTCTACACCTCGCTCCCGCTTGCCACCGTACATGAACCCTTAATTCGGGAACACACTAGCAATTTAGCAGCAGCGAAATAAGCGAATTAAAATAGCCTCAAAGCAAGAGCTCGCAAAGAAACATTATTTATTTTTAGCCGGCTATGAGTGACGGACGGGCTTTGACAAAGGTCTTTGCAGAAACCCTGATCTAGACTACGCTTTATATACGCTGTGGTTTGAGCAAATGATTACTTGACTAACTTAGGTACTAAACATATCTATTTGGGACGAACGGTTGAAGGTTTTTTATATAACAGGGGGCAAAAGGGCAGGAGGTTCATCTGATGTTAAGTGATATGCTGGCCTTTTAAAAATTGATACGCTCTGTTCTTGAAGGACCCTAAGTCGTTGGAAAATGCTCTAGTGGGCAGCCACCACATAGTGGCGTTGCGCGACTCAAACTGCCTTAACGTCGAAGTGATAAGTGTGAGTGATTCGGCCGTTGTCTGTGGATACTCATTTGTCAGAAGGCCCGCGCTTGCGTGCGTTGACGGCTAATAATACAGCTAATATACTGCACGATTTTCAACGGTTTCAATAAGGGTAACAATTACATTGTAGATAGGAGAATTCTTCGAATGATAATATTATTTCTTGGCAAGTAAATACCAAATTTAATTGTAATTTTTTAATATACATTTTTTATCTAGGCATAAAAGCAGAGTTTATTATGCATTAAGCTTCTTTCATACTAAATATTTTAGTATATTTAAGGTTAATTTCTTTGTCTAATTGTTACTTAAACCCTCTTCTTTCTTCTTACATAGCCTTAGAAATCTTAAGATAAATCCCAAGACGTTCAATTAAGATGACAATTCTCTCATCACCTAACGTATTTTAGATTTAATTTATCCATTTATTTCGCTGGGAAACTTTATTATTCTGTCTAATTAGCGGACATTTTTAAAGCGGGTGGGGACAAGTCTACACGATTATCTGAGTGGGGGGGTAGGGGGTGTACAGTCGCTAACAAAAATCCGTCGATTTTTAATTAGGAGCCGGGAGCGGCGACGTGATCGGAATCTAGTGATCTCTCATGTACTTTGGACGAAACTTAGTTAGATTTTTGGACTTGAGTGTCCAATCAGCGTCTATGCTTAATGAGACGGTTCTTTCTGTTTATTTATCCTGATTGAATTCCGTTCATGTAACACTGATTATTGTCTTGATTGACGTTCAACCACAAGCTGATATTAATACATTTAAGCACAGAAGATAAAAACTTTTGTGATTTGTCTTACAATATTTCTTGGTCGGCCACGTTTTAGAAGAAAATCAAGTTTATAATGATCTTAAAATCATGAATGAAAAAGCTTACTCTTACCATTAAAATACGCTACCAAAAGCTTAAACAGTTAACATAAGAGATCAAGTTGGTTTCGTTAAGTTCAGAAGGAACTAACTTCTGAGAAAAGTTATCAATAAAACATACAGAAACTAGGGACTCGTAAACGAACTAAAGGTTTTGTTTAACTGGATTACGTGACTTATATAATAGTTAGGCTAATTGAAAAGTTTACCCTTTGTCCCAGCGTTATCTAAGCCAAGATAAAGCTTAACATTCAAATTAAAGGTGACGATTGTCATAACCCACAATCAGGGGACAAAAGGCAATTCTACAAAAAGGCAAGATAGGGACAGATAGATAAATATATTATTAAAGTCAACGACCTTCAGGTACAAACAACTTGTACCCCTCGCCCCCCGCAAAAGCTCATGCTTACAAACTGTCGCATTACACGGGCCCTTGGAATACAGCTAGTTTCATTTATCGAGCAATTTTGAACTCTACGTGTATGAATTAAGGATAAAAATAAAAATAGCACAGCTGTATCGTCGTTTGAATGACATTTCGCAAAGAAAGCGAGCGATTTTCAACATTTAGATAACATTGGAAACGGATGAGTGGAGGCATGTCGAATTAAAAATTATTTACTATTTCGTATAGAATATTGGAAATTATAACCTTGATCTTTAAACCCAATGCTTTTGTTTATACATAGTATTAATATTATTTTCTTTTGATTTTACTTTTTTTTAGTTATACATATGTAGTTAGTGTTACGTGTTATTTTTTATGCACTTCTTGTACTCTACTCTCTGTAGGTGTTTCTTTTTTTGATTGATCCATACTAGGGTTGCCTGGAAGAAATTGCTTGTTAGCAATAAGGCCGCCCGTTTCCTAATAACTTATGTAACCTACTTTTTTATATGTATGTTTTTGTATAAGGTAACGAAGTGTAAATAAACAAACATAATAAATAAACATACGTAGGTAGAAAAGTTTGTATGACAATGGATAAATACACAGAAAACCCAAAAAGGTTCAGGCGCAGCACTTAACAAAATCATAGGATATTGTTATAGATTCGCGTAATGTTCTTACAAGGTATTGCACTAGAGACGCAGGTCAGCGCAGCGGCAGCACAATCGGCTTGAGTGAAAACTGCCATAAACGATACGCCATAGAATAACGGCGTAGATACGACTAGATTACTTTAATGCAATTGCATCTGAGAGGTAGGATAACCTTTTTCGGAGCTGTTTTAAAATACGAAAAGGTTTTCCAAACTTTAAACAATATGAAATACACAAGTACATTGTAATTGAAGTGAACCGAAAACAATACGAGATAAAATAAATCTTAACTTGTAACATCAGATCCATTATAAATTTACAATCTAAAGTGGGACAGACATCAAAATTTAAAACCCGTTCCAGAGGGATTGAGGATAAGAAAACTGCACAATTCCGCCATTAGTCGTAACTTATTATAGACAATTTCCTGCGCTAGAGCGAGACCAATCGGGCTGAGTGAGAACCGCCATAAAGGAAGCGTTTAATAGGGACTACAGAGTTACCGAGCGGAACGGGATTACGGGGCTGGGGAATTTAACTCGTGCTCGCAGGTAAAATAGGTGCAGCGCCGCTACTGCTTCTTATTGTTCTTTATTCTTTGATCGTTTTCTAGTAATGCCCCATTGTGTCGATTTTATGTGAAGTTGCTCCGATATAGGGGGCTTTGACTCGAACTGTATTTTGACTGTGAAATATAGGAACATTCTCTATGAGAAAGTGATTGTACACATATGTTAAAACAGCGTGTGTGGAAATAGCCTACGACTCGAACCTGAGGTCAAATCGATTTGTGCACGAATAAATAAATAAATCGTTTATTTGTAAAAAAATCTTTTGTCGTTCATTTATTAGAGACTGTAAATAGTGTTATTGGAGACTTTTTTATGTTAAATATCCCTTTTAGTAAATAAGTTAGACTTAAATTACTTAGTCTTAAGTTAGACTAGATCGCAATTTTCAATGATGTCTTAATCCAACATGTATTAAAAAATAAAAATAAACTAGCTGACCGGGCAAACGTCGTTTTGCCATATATATCATTTATAATAAAAAATAGGGGTTGATCGTAGAGGGGTGAAAGTTAGGGATTTGTATGTTTTTTTTATGTTGTATCATAAAAAAATAAAAACAGAAAAAAAATATCTAAAAATAAAAATTAAATATTTAGGGGTGGACTACCATTAACATTTAGGGGGATGAAAAATAGATGTTGTCCGATTCTCAGACATACCCAATATGCACACAAAATTTCATGAGAATCGGTCGAGCCGTTTTGGAGGAGTATGGCAACGAAAACTGTGACACGAGAATTTTATATATTAGATTGTAAAGAAAGCGGTACATTCAGATTGATGATAAAAGAACCACACAATCAGCCATATAAAAATAGGCATGCATACGTCATATTTATAATCATAGTTAGAACAGTTAAGATATTTATACTGTCTAAAAACTCTCCCAAATTATAAAGGCTCCGTGCCTTTAAAAATCTAATCATCGCACACCGCAATGATGTGTCACACAGAAGGGTTAGGCCTGAATTAATGAGACACGGAAATGTCCCCGTGGGTTTTATACCAAAAACCACAACAAACAATATCTCTATATATATAAAATTCTCGTGTCACAATATTCGTTCTCATACTCCTCCGAAACGGCTCGACCGATTCTTGTGAAATTATTTGCATATTCAGTAAGTCTGCGAATCGGCTACTATCTATTTTTGAGACCCTTAAATGTTAAGGGTAAACCCCTAAATTTTAATTTTTAAAAATACATACAACCCTTTATTGATCTCTAGACAATCAACCCCTATTTTTTTATTATAGTAGATAGTTATTTTTATTGAACTAAAAAATATTTCCTAGAAATAATATATATGGCAAAACAACGTTTGCTAGTATAATATATAATAATAAACACATCTTACAAATGTTACATTTCTAATGGATAGTAGTAGAGTCATTGAGCCAATAAATTGTCCAGCTACTCAAACCGAAGGCTCAAACAGAAGCCGATTGTATCGAAAGTAACTGGTAGAGACTACTAATGTGCTATTAAGATATCCATCACTCGCTGGCTCGCTCGTAAAATTAGCATCGGAATAGCCCTTCTAGCTATCGGTGTATCAAAATACATAGAAGTTCCATATATCTATGTATAGAGTAGATTTTAGTAGAAATACAATTTTTGTTGGGTCTGATCTTTATAACTAACTTAACCAGCTAGGACATTGTTCTCAATTCTTGTAAATTGAGAACAATATTCGTTATAACTGAACAAAAACACCATCCAGTGGCGCTACATTACATCGGTCTTAGCCTC